GACGTTTTATCCGGTGTTTGAAAAAATATATCGGGGCCTGAGGGGCCCCCTGAGGGGGCCATGGCCCCCGTGCCCCCCCCCCCCTTGGGTACGTCACTGCCAATAAGTGTCACGAAACAGCAATGGGACCAGGGACTCTATATGAACTGGACCCAGGGTGCTCGCCAAGAAGACCAATGTCTCCATCGGCCTATGATCCTTCCGGCTCTGAAATGGTCTTGTCAGACCGAAAGGGCATAACCCAACAAAACAAACCAAGTTCGTTAGCTGGCTGCGTGGTGTAGTGGTTAGCGCACTAACCACGCGTTCGAATGACACGGGGTTCGAATCCCATCGCCGGCTGATGCTTTTGGCGTGTTGTCCCAGTAAATATGCCGACGTCGGCGACTGGGGGGCTCGAATTCCGCCGCCGGTTGATATTTTTTGCGCGTTGTCCCAATAAACATGCCGACGTCGGCCCCGTCGGTCCAACGACAAACGATCTCGTCAACCTCGGCAAACGATCTCGGCCCGACGTCGGCACGACGTCGGCTGAACTTCGGCTGGACGTCGGAACATGCGGGCATATCCGACGTCCGGCCGATGTCGGGCCGAGGTTGAACCGACGTTGGGCCGACGTCGGGCCGAGCCTCGGCCCGACGTCGGCATGTTTACTGGGTGGACACTTTTCCAAGTTGGTGGGGCAATAAACCTAATGTATATCTTGGTTTGAGTCGTTTGATTGAGTTGATTGATTCCTTTCATTGTCGCGTTTGAGTCGATTGAATCAATTCCCGAAAACTGCTCTGACTTGATTGATTTGATTGGTTTCCCAAATTTGTCGTGATTGAATTGATTGCTATTGATTGAGTCGTATACAACCCTGGTCTTACGTAGAATAACGGAAATTTCTGAGTATGAGCGGCCAGCCGGCCGGCCGTCGTCACGATTCTCCGACGCTTATATCTCAGCAACCACTTGACCGATTTACATGCGATAATTTTTGTAGGGTAGCTTCATTCCTTCTACCAAGTATTGGACTATTCCCGATGCATGTGGGTGACCCCTTATGCACGCGCCACGTGCAAAACGAATAGGTGTCACTTTTGTAATAGTTGCAACATCTCGGTAACTACTGGGCCGATTGCGCTGAAAGTTGGCATGTAGGTAGGCACCCACTAGGCAATGCATATCCATGTGCCAGAGTTGGGGTGCTGCTGCAGGTGCGCACGTGGAGGGGTCGATTCCAGATCTCGAGAACGGCTGGACTGATTGCGCTCAAATTTGGTACACGGTTACGGAGCAGTTAGTAGGGTGCCGTGCACAAGTCAGTTGGGACCCATTTTGCACGTGCGCACGTGCAGGGTGCCGCTTCCAGATCTCGAGAACGGCTGAGCCGATTGTGCTCAAATTTGGCACATCGCTAGAGACCGGTTAGTAGGGCGCCGTGCACAAGTCAGTTGGAGGAACCCCCTCGCAATTTCCCACGTGCAAGGCCCACCCTCTCGCTCGCTCCGTTAATCGCCCCAAAAGGCGTTATACTTGTCATACGCAAATCGGTCAAGTACTTGCTGATTACGGAGCGAGCGAAGCGAGCGGAGTCTTTCCTTAGATTAACGGAAATTTCTGAGTATGAGCGGCCGGCCGTGGTCACGCTTTTGTGACGCTTATATCCCAGCAACCTCTTGACCGATTTACACGCAGTAATTTTTGTAGGGTAGCTTCATTCCTTCTACCAAGTATTGGACTATTCCCGATGCATGTGGGAGACCCCTTATGCACGTGCCACGTGCAAAACGAAGAGGTGTCACTTTAGTAATTGTTGCAATATCTCGGTAACTACTTGGCTGATTGCGCTGAAAGTTGGCATGTAGATAGGCACCCACTAGGCAATGCATATCCATGTGCCAGAGTTGGGGTGCTGCTGCACGTGCGCACGTGCAGGGGTCGATTCCAGATCTCGAGAACGGCTGGACCGATGGCGCTCAAATTTGGTACGTGGTTAGGGACCGGTTAGTAGGGTGCCGTGCAAGTCAGTTGGGACCCATTTTACACGTCCGCACGTGCAGGGTGCCGCTTCCAGATCTCGAGAACGGCTGGGCCGATTGTGCTCAAATTTGGCACATCGCTAGAGACCGGTTAGTAGTGTGCCGAGCACAAGTCAGCTGGAGGTACCCCCTCGAAATTTCGCACGTGCAAGGCTCACCCTCTCGGTTGCTCCGTTAGTCGCCCCAAAAGGCGTTAACCCTATTAGTGGCAGGCTCCTGGCTACCCCTATTAGTGGCAGGGGGGGCTGTTTACGACCCCCCCCCCCTTGATATCTCGAGATCTAACGGGCCGATTTTCAAAATGCAAACGGCATTCGATTTCGCTCAACGTGATCTACATTTCTAAAAAATAAAAATTAAAAAAATGTCAATAGGGGGTAGAGGGGGGTAAAAACGGGAAAATTGCAGATACATTTTAGACTGTTTATCACGGCCAGGTTTCTGAAAATATCCTAACGCAACTTTTGCCGATCGATAGAGAATGAACCAGGAATTCACATGGATCCTAAAAATATGCATTTTCAAAAATCATAGGCGGATACAGATCATTGAGATTGGGGGTAGGTACACAAAAAGTATAGTAAATAAGGTTTTTGTTGGTACTGTTTCTAAAAAGGGTGGTAATGGTCTTGTTATGTTACAATTTTCTTATGAGAGAACGACTACAATTGTATTGGTCATGCATAGGCGGTGTCAGGGCACCTATGTTGGGAGGTAAAACATAACCCCCCTTTTTGGACGCCTGGATCCGCCTATTATAGCAAAAACGTGTCAAAAGAGGATGCACAATAACTTTGTATATGTTATCACATGATACCTTTCATTCACTGTTCGTAAAACTGGTGCATACAGTTATAATACATCAGCATCGTGATCTTCGTCCAAATGACTCGCTTCACGAATAGGACCCCCCAATTCCCAGTGCTCTGGAGCCGCCCCTGGTAAAGTTATGAACTTGAAATTTTCAGGGAATGTGCCCAATTTAGTTTTAGGAAGTCAGAAAATTTCAGCATCGTAGCTTCAGCGGTTTCGGAGATATTTCCGAAAAACCTGAGGGGTGGATGAAAACAACCCCCCCCCCCCCTGCCACTAATAGGGTTAAGCCTGAAACAGACTCTTTCCGCAGTCAGGAAATCGCATGCGAGAGCCTATACAAATACATGGAAGCACGCTCGCATCAATCGCACGCACCTCCCGCAAGCGATTGATGCGAGACGAATTACAATGTATTTTAACCCGGCAGTTGCTGGGGTATTTCGCCACCCACCGTTTGCTGGGGGGGGGGGCGTTAAACGCCCCCAGCCAATAACTCGAGAACCAATAGGCGCAGCGAAACGCACGAGGCGGCAAACGAAAGAACGCGACAAGACGGTTTAGATGAGTACTTTAAAGTTGAATTTTGAGGTCACAGGTCAGGTCAAGGTCAGGTCAAACACCTGAAATCGGGCTTTCAGTAGCATGGACTTAAGGACTTCGCAATGGGCGCCTCTCGTCATAAACTCTGTCAAAACGGTGCACAATCCATCATATAAGGCCTACAAGAGTGTCAGCTCCATGCAGGGGTCAGTCAAGCATAGGTCAGGGTCAAGGTCAGGTCAACCGGGCAGGCACATATCCCCGAAAAAAAACTGATATTCGCAGCCTGTGACACATGTTTTATGGGTAATTTGGGGCGTGGAACACGATGGTGACATTCATTTTATCATATGTGTACGTGTTTGGCTAAAAAAGTTCAATTTAAGAAATTCATGTATCATGATCGTGAAGTAGTCACGAGAAATTGCCAAGATTCAGTTCAAGATTTTGGAAAATGCGGAACGATAATCAATAATCGAAGATAGCCATTTGATTCTTCATGGTATTGGCAGTCTAATGGCGTTCAAGGCATGTCTATATGTCTATTCTGTGATTTTATATGATTTTTTGAACATATGCCGTTTTTGGCCGAAAACTCAGAAATCATGACGTCACTAAAACCTCGATATCTCAAAAATTTTCCGACCGATTTTTTTGAAACTTTGTCACAATAAACTTCAATCAATTCCCTACAGGTACCCAAAATTTGGCGCGCCTGCGGCGCGCCGTTTTTGTGCTATGGCCCGGCGAAAAAAGTGGGGGCGTTTAACGCCCCCCCCCCCCCAGCAACTCGCGGGTTAATAGGCTCTCGCATGCTATTTCTTGAACGCGGAAAGAGTCTGTTTCAGCCTTTATACTGGTATATAAGACTCGCAAAAACGTTCGCACGGCCGGCCGCTCATTCTTAGAAAGTTCCGTTGATTGCGGAACGAGCGAAGTAGATTAACGGATATTTCTGAGTATGAGCGTCCAGCCGGCCGGCCGTGTTCACGCTTTTGTGAGGCTTAAATCTCGGCAACCACTTGACCGATTTACTTACGGTAATTTTTGTAGGGTAGCTTCATTCCTTCCACCAAGTATTGGACTATTTTCGATACATGTGGATGACCCCTTACGCACGTGCCACGTGCAAAACAAGAGGTGTCAGATTTGTAACAATTGCAATAAATAGGTAATTACTAGGCCGATTGCCCTGACAGTTGGCATGTAGGTAGGCAGTAGGCACCCACTAGGCAATGTATATCCATGTGTCACAGTTGGGGTGCTGCTGCACGTGCGCACGTGAAGGGGTCGATTCCAGATCTCGAGAACGGCTGAACCAATTGTGCTGAAATTTGGTTCATGGTTAGGGACCGGTTAGTAGAGTGTCGTACCAAAGTCAGTTCGGACCCATCGGACCTAAGAGACGGCTGAACATGGCTGGGCCGATTGCGCTGAAATTTGGCATGCCGCTAGAGACGGTTATTAGTTTGCCTTGCACAAGTCAATTGCCAGATCAAGGCCAGGTCGTAGGTCATCGAACCGCTGGCCGTCTCCATTCCGTTCTGAGCTATGCTGGTCGCTGCCGACGGCAGGGTTTCGACTAGTCTGACCTATGCTGGTTGCTGCTGACCGCAGGGTATCGGCGTGCACGTGTCGCCGTTCGTGAAGCCGCAGGACGTCGTCGGACTCCTTACCAGGGCCGGCTTCACAATGCTAACCATTGTAAGTACCTGTGAACAGGAGACGTTTCACGTGGCTGGCTTAACCCTCACCGGCACAGGGGGGGGGGGGGTTGATGCAACCCCCCTAAGGTTTTTCGCGAATAACTCGCGTAAAAAGTGGCCGATCACGAAGACACTTTCAGTACCCTCGCATTGATCAATTTTACACCTACCCTGAAAATTTCATGACCCTGACCCAAATGACCTTTGACCTGTCACCTCTTTTCCGAGACCATGTTTGGCCGGAATCGCGATTTGGCGTATGTCGGCTCGCATTAGCCGCGCGTTGGCCGCAAGCTTTTCGTGGTTTCAAACGTTCAAACATGTGATTTGATGTTGCTCCCATGCATTAGGGTTGGTGTTAAGGTCACCTGAAGGTCAGGTCAGGTTATTGACCTTTGGTGACCTCGGTTCACTTTTTCGAGTTTTACATGTTTCTACTTTCTAGGCTAGTTTTTGGAGCTGAATTCGAATTTAGCAACCATTTGAACATTTACGAAGTAGTTTTGGTGCCTTCGCAACATGTTACGAAGCTGTCAGAGGCGGATCACAGGTACTACGAATACCCATACTACGTAGGTACCCGAATACTACGACCCCTACCGGTTGACCTGACCTGACCTGATCCGACCTGGTCTAAACGCTTAACGACATCATCTGTGATCAAAACTAACACGATATTCGTGATCAGCACCCCGGAAAACCCCTCAGCAGCCACACTTAACGACTTGCTTATCCTTTGACTTTCTAACAGGTCCCGATATTCCCGATTTTTGGGTCATTGACCTGACCAGGAAGGTCAACCGATGACCTAGGACCTTAAAATTGGGTATCATTGGCTTCCTCTCGTGACGGGCAACACGCTCGTTTTCTAGACAACCTAGCGCAAAACAAAGATCACCATCGCACTCCCCGTGACCAGCTGCATCGAATCGATACCCATTTTATGCAAAAAAAAAAATCAACTATGAAATTTGGCCTAATATGCGCCTAACCTTTACCTTACCTTCACCAGAACATAACCGAAACAGATCCCAGAGGTTGCTTGACCCACGTAATCCCATTTGTTATGTAAAATGGACCATAAAACATGTATCACACGACACTTTAAATGTTTGTGGCCCTCAGTGACCTGAGCTCTGTGACCTGACCTGGTATCAGTGACCTCAGATAGCAAAATATGTGTTTGACGAACAATTATCAATCGATGATTTTCAATAACCTACAAATGTACTTGATTTCACAACACGTCATTCTCTTGAAATGCCTGTAAACGGTGAAAATGTGACCTTTGACCTGACTTGTGACGTCATCGGTTTGACCAAGCTCAATGAAATTGGGTCACAAGGTAGTTCCTCGGTGGAGCTATCGAATGCCGTTTGAATTTTGAAAATCGGCCGGTAAATTTCCGAGATTTGGGGGGGAGGACCGAAACGGCCCACTCCACAGGCTAGGTGGTAGGGTCCGCCGATAGCCCTACGGGGCGCGGGTTAAGGTTGCCACAAGAAGTTATTTCCATGTTCTGCCGTGATCTCTGATCTTGTAAATATTGAACCGAGGGCAAAAATGTGTTCTTTAGGTTTTTAGGCCTTTCGTTTGGTACTGCTTTATTTTCATAGTTATTTATGCACATAGTTTGACAGGATGAAAAATACCCTCTCCCACTGGATCTGGCCGGGGTAACCAAGATTCGGATGAGTAGTCCCGTGACCGTCGTTCTGACCTGCCCTGTGATCGTGCAAAGGACGTGGACGCCATCACGGTCGGCTACCCGTCCATGTTCGAGCTGATGTGGGACCTCCAGGGAATGGCAGAGAACAACGCCGCCGTCAACCGCACTCTGCGGCTCAACCGGGACACCATGCTGGCGGCGGCGGCCATCTACCAGGGTAGGTCACGTCAGCCCGTCCCTGCCGACTTATCGTCTCTCAGAGAAACAATGGAACAGCATGCTCCGCCTATTACTTCACATCCATTTTACCAGGGGCCGTATTCAGCTGGTGGGCGGGCATCTTTTGTTTGATTTAAGATCAGGGCAAAATGCCTTAAATTTGATAGATGGAGGATGATTGGATTTGATGGATGGATGGAGTTTAAAACCAGTAAAACGCCTTTCCGGTTGACAAACAATCGAGCAAGTGGGTGAGCTTTGAAAGTGCAGAATTTAGAGTGAAGTATGTACATCCAACTGACTTGTGCACGGCACCATACTAACCGATCTAGGACCAAGGGCGGCGCCACCGTGGGGGCAGTGGGGGCAGACTGCCCCCACTGGCAGGAGGCCATGGGGGCAAGACTATGTTTCTGCCCCCACAAAATTTGGCTGATGTTGGAATGGGAACAGAAGACCGGCGCAACATTCATGATAGGCGGTTATAATAAATAGTACGGCTGTTTTTGACGGTCCCCGTATCAAGTGCATCAGCAGAACGTTCGTTCTCGGACCGTCTGTCGCATATCTCTTACTCCCACTCATTCTCCTACTCATTTTCATTCATCAGAAGACTGCCCTCGAGCTTGACCTCGAGGAGGTTGAGAGGCAGTTTGTCAAAATCGGCCAAAGAAGAGATCATCCTCTTTTGGGAACCCTTAGGCTGAGACTGAGCTCAGGGAGGTATGACAAAATGTGTTAGGTATGTATATCCGGGTTATCTGGAAATGTATGTGGATCGCTCTAATGGAGCTTATTCTAACTAGAAGGTATATCAATTGTGTGTGAGAGAATCGCACATATACGCTTTACGGTAAAAAGGAGAACTAGGTACCTACTGATTATTATTCTGAGGAATATACCATTTTACATTTCAACGAACAACATAACGTTTTCACAGGTTTGTGTCTCGCAATTAAGTTTTATAGTTTTATTTGCTCGCGACCTTATCCCGCCCGGGCCCGGGGGTAATCCCAACCACCGCAGCCCGGGGGTAGCCCCTCCCACCGTCTAATTCCGTAAATAAGGCAGCTACGGAAACAAAAATGGTACCAAACGAAAGGTATCTACTATCTACGAGAAGCTTCTAAAGTACCTAAACTTTTTGACGTCAGGTCAATTTTCAAGGTCAAAATTCAAGGTCAAAGGCAAAAATCGGCACTTTTGTAGTGGTCTCAAAGTACGTATTCCAGAGGACGGCAAGAGGACGGTATTCCAGAGTACATAAAACCGGCTAAAATGGATGTTAAACGAAAGAAGAGAGTCTGGGGATTCCGATGATGTGCATAACATTTAAATTCAAGGTCCCGGTCATGATCAAAATTGACCACAAACTTTGCACTTCTTCCTCTATCTTGTATACTAAATTCCGAGATGTTTTGAAATGTTTTGAAGCTTAGCGGGCCCCTATTTGTGCTTTAGCCTACGATACAAGGCTGCTTCAAGGTCAAAGTCACAAGAGAGTATCCTTGCTAGAGGCTATTTCACGTATTCAAGTCAGGCATAATAATTAAGACATGTTTTGCCATCCTGAGGCTCTAAATGAATGCTTAGAGCAAAATGGATGCCAGAATCCTGATCAGCGACTACGAAATCATCACATACGACCTTTCATGTGTCAAAGTCAACCAAAGGTCATTCGAGGTCACGTGAGGTCAACACAAAACTTGACCTCCCAAACAATATATATGTCATTCGACTCGTCTCGACGAAACGAATGCGAAGATACCGCTGCCGTAGCTCTAGGACCATTTTTGTTGATTTTTTTGGGAAAAAAAACTAAAGCCCCAGCTCGGGGGCATTGACCTGACCTCCTCAGGTCACCAAAAATACTGAAGTATTTTTTTTTTCTAGATGAAATGCCACACAACCGTGCTCGTACTTTGTCTTTATCTCTAAAACTCTATTTTTGGCAGCTATTTGAAGTTCACGTCTGTGACGCCGAAGTTTGCCGTGCAAGAGTCTAGAAATATCGGCCCTGAGGCGTTATGAAGAAGACTAGGTCCATTTTTTTTTTGCTTCAAAAGATGTCAAATTAATGGGGGATCAGGTACAGCAGGTTTCATCTTTCTATCCGTAAGCGTTCATGACGTATTGCAAATATTCGCCAGGGGGAGGCGAACCCCCCCCCCCCTTCCGGGCCCGCGAGGGTTAATGGTTAAACTCAATACGTATGCATGAAACCTGAAACCATACAAATTTTGAATGACAACATCTAGGGACAAGGTGCTCATGAATTTTGCAGATCGGGGTATCAGACAACAGTCGGGTCACCTCAAGCTTGCCCCTACTGGCGAAAATTCGTGGCGCCGCCACTGTCTAGGACAATTTGTGCCAAATTTGAGCGCAATCGGCCTAGCCGTTCTCGAGATCCGGAAGCGGCGCCCTGCACGTGCAAGCTGGGTATCGGCGTATCACAGCTCACCGTTATCGTCAAAATAATCTGAAACGCACCAACTCGCATCCCATTGGACTACTGGCAGTCAGATCGCGGCCGTGCACGGTTCGTCGGAAAGTCATTTTCATAGGTGGGCACGATCCGTTCCTCCGTTCCGGAACGCCGTTACAATTTTTAGGAACGGAGGAATGGACTTGTTACATTTTAAAAAGGGTAACGGATCAAGTAACTTCCGTTACATTGGTTGTTCGTTCCTCCGTTACAAGTTAACAGTTTAGTCCGTTCCTTCGTTCCTCCGTTACTTTTCGTTGTCCGAGCGGGTTGATCTTTCAGCTAACCCACAGACATTAATGCAGCAGCGGAATAGTGGATTTTAAGGGGGGGGGGGTACTGCCGACTTTTGGTCCCATTCTTTCCATGCAACGCACATAGGGCTTATGTTAAAATGCCAAAATCAAAGGATGCGCCGGTGCCCCCCCCCCCCCGTTCCGCATCTGGCCGGGGACAAGTGATGCGCATCAGTACCACCAGACGTTCCAAGGTTTAGTGTCCAATCAGTGCCCACTGTCTTGGTAGATTTGGTGGGCATTCCGCTTTCTCGGTAGGTTTAGTTCGTGTCAGAATGGTCTCAAAAATGTGTGAAATACCCAATATTTTAACGTTTTTTTTTTATTTTGCTGTAACGGAGTAACGGACTAAAAGAACTTCCGTTACATCATATGCAGAGGAACGGAGGAACGAGTAACGGAAGTCACGTTTTGAGGGAACGGAGGAACGAGTAACGAAGTTACAATTTTGGGGAACGATGCCCACCTATGTTAAGGGGGGGGGGGGGTACTGCCGACTTCTGGTCCCATTCTTTCCATGCAACGCAAATAGCTGGCTTATGTTAAAATGCCAAAATCAAAGGATGCGCCGGTGCCCCCACCCGTTCCGCATCTGGCCGGGGACAAGTGATGCGCATCAGTACCACCAGACGTTCCAAGGTTTAGTGTCCAATCAGTGCCCACTGTCTTGGTAGATTTGGTGGGCATTCCGCTTTCTCGGTAGGTTTAGTTTGTGTCAGAATGGTCTCAAAAATGTGTGAAATACCCAATATTCTAACGTTTTTTTTTTTTTATTTTGCTGTAACGGAGTAACGGACTAAAAGAACTTCCGTTACATCATATGCAGAGGAACGGAGGAACGAGTAACGGAAGTCACGTTTTGAGGGAACGGAGGAACGAGTAACGAAGTTACAATTTTGGGGAACGATGCCCACCTATGGTCATTTTATCCACAAAAAAAACGAAATATACCATCCGAAAGCTGACGGTGAGCTGATTCCAAAAATGTAATTTTTATCGAAATCGTTCGATGGCCTTCTAGAAAAAATTGCGTTTTTGTAAAAACGTAATAATTTTTTATTCAACAAGCTGTCCAGTCCAGGACAATCTTGAAATCATAGGCATATTTTTTTTCGTTTTCCAGTGAAAGCTGAATGCCAATAGAACAATATGTAGCGAAAAGATATTCTCAAATATGCGTCTCTCAGAGCCGGCAACAAGGCGCAATCATACAACTCAGTGTCACGATGGATCAAAGTGAGCCACACAAAAGCGTGAAATGATCCTTAACGAGACTCGAACGTTTCTTCCGTGACCGGTCAGACGGGCCTAGCGCCGGGTCTGCGAGTCGATAAGGGTCATTTCACGCCTCCGTGTGGCTGAACTTCATCCATCGTGACGTTTAGTTGTATGATTGCGCCTTGTTGCCGGCTGTGAGATGCGCCTATTAATATTTGAGAATATTTGAGTGGGCCGCCACGCCGACGGTCGCCAGAAGATCCTCTCAAAATCCCGGTATGATGAGCGCAATATTGCACATCGTTCCATGTGCCACGGTGGGTCCCCACGGCTCGCTTTCGATGTGGTGGTGGCGACTGGCGAACACTGACGAAAACAGCGGGCCAAGCGCCCGCTACGCTCACCTCTGGTTACGGGGTGAGCGAACCCAAGATTCCTTTACTACTCGAGCGAACCGAGCGTAGTCTTTCGTAGATTCACGGAAATTTCTGAGAATGAGCGGAAGCTTTTCCGAGGCTCACATCTCAGCAACTAGTTGACCTTTACATGCGGTAATCTTTATAGGGTAGCTTCATTCCTTCTACCGAGTATTGGACTATTCCCGATGCATGTGGGTGACCCCGTATACACGTGCCACGTGCAAAACGAAGAGGTGCCAGTTTTGTAACAATTGCAATATCTCGGTAACTACCAAGCGGATTGCTCTGGAAGTTTGCATGTAGGTAAGCACCCACTAGGCAATGCATTATCATGTGCCACAGTTAGGGTGCTGCTGCGCGCGCGCACGTACAGGGATCGATTCCAGATCTCGAGAACGGCTGAACCGATTGCGCTGAAATTTGGTACATGGTTATTGGTTAAGGACCGATTAGTAGGGTGTCGTGCAAAAGTCAGTTGGGACCCATTTTGCACGTGCAGGGTGCCGCTTCTAGATCTCGAGAACGGCTAGGCCGATTGCGCTCAAATTTGGCACATCGCTAGGGACCGGTTAGTAGGGTGCAGTACACAAGTTAGTTGGAGGTACCCCCTCGCAATTTCGCACGTGCAAGGCGCATCCTCTCGCTCGCTCCGTTGGTCGCCCCAAAAGGCGCTTTACTGGTTATAATATACAACTATCACGTAATACGGTTTGACGTTCCGTGTTTGTCATCTCTTCAGTGTGTTCACAATGTCAAACAATATCCACGGAGCTGCACACTCCCTATGCTGATCTAGTGTGACGCGTTTCTGCTGCAGAAATGTACGGCTCCGTCGACGAGCAGAGCGGTGAAGTGTCGGTGCCGGCGACGTTCGAGGTGCTGCACTTTATCGCGTGGAAGCCGGGTGCCAGCCAGCCGCGGCCCCTGGAGCGCGGATCGGGCACCGTGTCCCTCAAGGACCTGGGCTCCGTCATCGGCGGCGCCAGCTGACACTGGCAGACCACAATGACGCGCTAGTTGTTATGTTGTGCTTTTGTGACAATAGATGCTGACAATCGAACAGAGTTCTTTTTCAGTCAGTCAATAGGGTTTATCAATGACAAATCATGGAGAAGGACAGACATAGCCGGGTTTAGGGAGACGGCTTCGGACGATGTATGACCCATAAAAGTGTCCAAATAAACAAAACGGATTTCGATCCCTTATGCATTGGCGTGCGGTTTAAACGAAACTTTTTCTAATAAATGATGTTCTGTTTCCCTTCTATTCTCGAAAACTGCAATTTTTATTGATTTCGGTTGCATTTGCCCAATTTTTCCCCATTTTTCATACCCGGACAAAATGAAACAGGTTCCAGTTAGATTTATCGAGACAAGTAGTGTTTTGAAATGAACGGTCGATCTGTATCGCCAGAGAGTACGACGAGACCGCTGGCCAACCTCAATCAGGAAAAGCTTCCTTACCTACCCTCTTTGACCCATGCGGTATTTATAGCTAGCTCAAGGAGACGGCCGATCGACGAGCGTATTCAGGATCCACCCAGTATGGATACGGTAATACGTTAGAGGCATTCTGCTTTCCAGTCACACGCACGCATGCACACGCACATACCAGGTAAACCCTCCCGTCGCCATGCGTTTGGGAGCTGCCCGACGCAAGGACAGCAGAAGGGCGGAGCCAGACGGCCGACGGTCCCGGAAGATCCACGGAACACGAGACGCCTCCGACAACCCGGTCCCGAGTGCGAGTGCGAGTGGCGCACTACTAGGACTTCACCCCCGGCCGCACGGCACCAGCAGACGACAGGAGGGCCAAATGGCCGGCGTCCGGCAGCGCGGCACCAAGGTTCAGAGGGGTCGGCACGGCAATACTCGACAGATAACGACGGGCCTTTCCACCCATTAGCCCTTTCCCGGCATCCCAGACACCACGGTGCATAGAAGGCTAGGTAATTCTGAGTTGTCAGCCCAACACACTGCAAGGCCTCGTCTAACATGTTAACTGGGGGGGGGGGCAAACCCCTGCAGTCACCGACCTGCCTCCCCCCCCCCCAGTCAGGGAAAAAATGTCACTCCTGGGGGGGGGCGGCAAAAGCGAAAAGGCAAATGAATTTTTACTGCAAGGCGTCAGTGCACACTGCACATAAAAATAAATGCGTAAACGAAACATGGATGCAATGTGAGCACAATGATATAATACCCGATTACCTCTGACTGTTTTCACGTGTTCATTTTGTTTACCTGATAGGCTGATACCATTGTTTTTTTTTCGCTCAGCAATACGTTACATATCGGGTTTTCAGGCGAGCTAACTCCGTGTCCCGCATATTCTCTTTCACGTATTCTCCAGTTGTTTCAGTCCTCGGGGCGTCAATCTGTTGCTTCTACCTAAACCTATCGTCGTCTTCACTACGCGACGTCGAACTTCGGCAGCTGGACGGTCACCGGTGTGCGGCAAGAGTAGCTCCTAATCGTAATGAAGCAGGCTCTCATTCTGGGTGATCAGTGGCGGATCCAGCTCAGTTTTTTTTTGGGGGGGCAAACCATAACAATTTATCGATTCTTTCCATGCCTCGTCCATAGGCGTAATGTTAAAATTATGCCGTTTGGGAGGGGCAAATGCCCATTTTGCCCCCCCCCCTGGATCCGCCACTGTGGGTGATCGTGAGCTCAGCCTGGTGGTCTGTCTCTGAGGACGGGAAAGACTAGTGTGGGCTACCAGAGGCCAACGTGCAGGTCCAGAAGCTGGCATTGGCCATCAGAGCTCGGCTGACCTGACGCTTATAAGCCGGCGGGGCCATTAGAAACCGATGTGGTTCGCAAAAAAAAATATGCGTTCGTAATAAATTGCTATGTAAGGTCAATATTCAAGTCATTCGAGGGCATCAATTGTCCATTTCGCTCGATTATTCTCAGAAAATATTTGATTTCAACGTTTTAACTCTACCTTGTACGAACAGAGGAGCAGAAGCGCATACAAATAAGAGATGGCTCCCTTATAGCAATAACGGGAGCAAGATTCTTAGATAAACGGAAATAAGTCGTTAAATTTGAACTCCGACGAACAGTAAAGCATTCATGAGAGGCTGAAATCGTAAACAGATGACCGACTTAAAAAAGGTGCGGGTGCAAAACTAAGGTTTCATTCTTTGTATGCTTCTTACTGTCCGGTGGGGCAATGTGAGGGGGTTATAAACTAATGCAAGGCATGGGTCGGATAGTTTGCTGTTTTTATTTATCTAAAGTTAAAAAAGTTCACCAGGTTTCAGGGCTGTGATGAAAAATAAGTGGCATGAATCCGGTGAGAAAACAGGATTTGGGGGTACCCTAGGTTTGGCTCCTTCAGTCTCTGCCTCCCCCCCCCCCCCCCCCAGTGAAAATCTCTTAGACGAGGCCCTGCAACACAGGCCGACCGGCGACTACTTCCTTCGGATGATCAGTAGCGTTCATTTGACAGCTGAAGAAAATCACAGCGCCCACTAATCACAAATGAAAGCTTTGAGATACCCAAAGCTAACATGGACAATATGATGACGAAGTTAGCACATAATCAGCTGCCGCTATTTTCCTATTGACAATGCTCACGTTGTCGGTCTACTTACCCGGGCACAGCCGCGCACAAACTTACCGCTGTCCCCTGCACGCACCAGCAGCGACCTCGGGCCAGGCCACAAGCGGAAAACAACAAATCACAGGCTGCGCGATACGAAAGCACAAATTCCGCGCACGGCACAAAAGCAAAACGACAATAACCATCGGCCGGGCCGCAGTTTTAGGGCCTTGGGTTAGGCTGGTCTCGAATCGGCAAACGCCGCCTAATCGCGCCGACCAACGGTCCAGACACCAAAGACAGATCCAGAAAGGCAGTCTCAAAAGGTACAAGGAAAACAACATGCTCCCAAAGGTTATTTTAACCCGCGCCGGGTGTTTGAATAAGTTTGAACACACACCTCCCCCCTGCGGTTTTTTGCAGATATCTCAAAAACGGCGGCGCGGAGGCGCCACCGATTTTGGCACACCTGTTCGTGCATCTCAGTGCATCTTTTCCGCACATGTTGTAAAATTGACACACTGAACCGGAAAATGGCAACTGTGACCCCTCGTTATGTCCCCCGAGGTCATCTCAGGTCACAAACAGAATCTAACAGTTTTTTCGCTAATAACTTCTGAAGAGGCGTGCTAGAGCGATGAAAAGGACTCAGGTGTGTTCGGCTTGACGTTGCGGATCGACTGATATGCAACAGAACCTTTTCCGGTCAGGTCATGACCTTGAGTCCAGACTTGTGCCAAGATCCCAAAAAAGATCCAAGATCCAGGATCTGCAAGATCCAAGATCCGGAACCTTGTGGGATCTTGGATCCAGCACTTCAGCTTTTGTCGATGGATCCTGGAGATCCAGGACTGTGTCATCATTTTGTCAATAGATCCTAAAGATCTTGGATCCTGGTTGTTTATTTTGTCGAGGGATCTTGGCGATCTTGGATCCTGGTTTTTTAGTTTGTTGAGGGATCTTGGGGATCTTGGATTCTGTTTTTTTTTTAATTTGTTGAGGGATCTTGGGAATCTTGGATCTTAAGTAAAATTTTCAGGATTCTGGGAGATTGGTATCCTGAGTAGAAAGGTTTAGTAGGTAGTGGTACCATTTGACATTGGTGGCGGTGTTTTGATGTTGCAACTATTTAGTATTATATCTGACAGAGGTTATGATATGTTAGATGTTGTACCTACATGTACATGTCCATTTAGTGCCTAGAAAACAACTCTCAAAATAGAACATATCCAGAAAGCACATTTCAAATAAAAAACAATCAACCAGCATTCAGCAATGAGCAAACCAGTGGTACAAAACATGGATAAATGCTGATGAAAGGCGAAAGCATATCAATATCATGCAACAAAAACCTAGCAGCAAACTTATAGGAAGCTGAACTGAAGTCTACATCTAGTATAGGTGCTCTATACATTATGCAAGAAACCAGACCATTCAATGAAATGTTGAAAATCAAAACAAATGTCTGTTGCCACCGTTCAATAAAATGTTGAAAATCAAAACAAATGTCTGTTACTTTATGTGCGCCTGGTCTGCAATCTGTATAGAAAAGGGAGCTATCAGCTAACCTAATTGGATGCAAATTCATTGATTATCCTATCTACCCCACCCAACATCACAGACACAACACACAGAACTTGTAGATGTAAAATACCCCAAGATTGAGATGTATTTTTCATGCCAGATCTGGTCTTTGCTTCAAGATCCACTGAGATCATAGATCCATCACTCAGATCCATGCACATGTCTGCTTCAGTTCTTACCTACATTAGGTACCTACCAACCAAACCTGAAATTAAAAGACCTAAACCACATAGTTGCCCACTTACTTGACACCAGAGGAGAGATTCAGCCATGGCACGGCAGTGTTCTTCAGCTGGGGAGTGATAGCGTCCCCAGGCAGAAGCTTCCTCTTGACCAGATAAGAGGGATCAAAATCTGATTCGGCAAAGTGTCTGCTACAGATCCTCGTCATCTCTGGGTCAAAGTTGTCATCTCTCGAGCACTTATGAACCCAGGTAGCTCGCCTTGATGGATCTTTAGGAAAGCGAAAAAAGTAAGGCTTCGTTCCATCCTCCAAGCACTGGCCTCCACGAAGATTACAGCATGACACAGCACAGTTGCTTGGCATGACTATTTACACACTTATAACAACGCTTATGATATGGATAATCCTACAAACTCAGAACCAGAGTATATCGATCACCCCTATCACCCCTAGAACCAAGGCCATATATAGAAGGTACAGTCACTCCCCCGCCGACCAATCAGAGACAGATCCTGAGTGACGTCATCCCTGATGCTCGCAAGGGGTACTCCATTCCTTAACAACGTAAAAATGACAAACTTCATTTGAAGATTATTGATGGTACTTTTCACATATTGCTCAACCGTTGATGTAAATCGAAAGCCCAATTAATTTTCTATCGACAAAAAAGAGCAGCAATATGCTAAGAAATGGCCAGTTTTGAAGATATAGGCGATTTAAAAATCCACTGCAGTAGCAGAAAAGCAACGTAAAAACACATCGAGCTTATATTTTTACTATAAGTAAATCATTTTTCAGTATGTTTTTAGATAACGTATTGATATGATCAATAACTTTATTACAATATTTTTTATTATTTGTAACTTTATTTCAAATTAATATTTTCAAAAATGGCAACTGTTGGCAAGAAGCTTGGAAGCGATTGTGGCGCACCACGCCATTATTGTCTTGAGGCCCCCTTATGATGTCATCAAAAGTGGAGTGACATGGGCCTGCCTAGAACCGTAGGCAAGGCCGGCCGTATATTGATATTAGGAGGTAACTCGTCAGGCGGTTTGTTTACATTTGCTCAGCTGACGAAATGACGTCAAAGGTCGTCCACCCTCACGGATCAGGCACCCGCACGCAGTACAATATGCGGGCGTTTCTGGGAATTGCGACGACTTTAGCGATATTGAACGATTAGATTACGTTTTTCTAGCTTCCATAAACCTGGTAAACCGGTTTATGTTAATGTGGTGCCACAAACAATAATGTAGGAGCTTACATTAATGCGTTATCGGGTGGAAACGGACATCGACTCAGACGGCAATGGACTGAGCAAACATTGACCAACGCTTGGTTGTGGGTCAGCATCGTTGCTAGAATGTCGTAATTTACGTGGATTTAGACTACTTGCTTTGGTGACAAGCTTGTCAAGGGCCAAGTTGCATTAGCCATACGAGGCTTTGCTCACACTAATTGTACCGGGCAGAGCATGCTGATTGTTGATGGTCCGGCCGGGGCACCTGGGCGCCGAAACTGAAACGTGAACGGTGGCCTGAGACAGGAACGCCTATGGCTGCCAGTGATACGGTATGCGGTGGTGCATCGGGAGCAGCCACTACCGCTTTCGGTCCAGATCTGGCTGCCACTCGTTGGTCCCATTCCTGCCTCCATCGGCCTCGGGGCTCGGTTCAGACGTCTCCGCCTTTTCCGGTACAGAAGTCTAACCTAAAACTGAATTGAAGCATCTGATGGACGTTGTCGTTACGAGCGAGCGAGCGCAGCGAGCGAAGCGAAGTCTTTTCAATATAACGGAAAAATCTCAGTATGAGCGGCCCAGCCCGGCCCGGCCCGGCCCGGCCCAGCCCAGCCCAGCCCAGCCCGGCTCGGCCCGGCCCAGCCTGTAACGCTTTTGAGAGGCTTATATCTCAGCAACCGCTGGACCGATTGGCCTGCGGTCTTTTTTGCTGGGTAGCCCCACCCCTTCTACCCCGTAATTGACTACTTTTGACACATCTCAGTGACCGTCGGGGCACGTGCCACGTGAAAAGTCAAGGGTGTTCAAGCTGTTTTGCAAAAGTAGTGATTTTGAGAGGCTCATATCTCAGCAGCCGCTTGGGCGATTACAAAAGACAGGTAAGCATACCTAGCTTGAAAGAGCACTGTTTTTAAGTTTAGGTTAAACTTGGAAAAAAAGGTGGCTGTCACTTATGTAAGATAGGTACCGTAACCGTATACCGCACATTTTATAGCACTTTGAGATGTCAATGTTAGGAATCATCCAATTCCACAGACAGGAGCTCAGCCATGAAAAACAGATTGTTTTTGCTGTCACCATGAATGACAACTATCTTGTTGATGGTTGAACATTCAGCACCAATCAGTGATGCTGATATGCAGAAGATCATGACTTCCCTAAGGATCACTTGTTCCACAGAATTCTCATGAAAAATCATTGTTCTGTTCAAACATATTTTTATTATAAAAATAAGACATATAACATCAATATAGGGGAGAGTGGGGCACATTCGTGCATGGGACACATTCGTTTTCAGCAGGAACACGAGTGACTGCACGAGCTCAAGGTAAATAATGGAAATATGTCTCTCATTGCCGCCCTTCGTTCACCGTAGAAGACAACACTGTACCTGCTGTCATGCTTGATAAAAAACGCAAATTTGTAATATTCGTGAGCTTTCCAAACTTTTCTCATATCATCCATTTTCCTAATCTTGACTCGGAAACAGTGGCGGCGCCACGAATTTTCGCCAGTAGGGGCAAGCTTGAGGTGACCCGACTGTTGTCTGATACCCCGATCTGCAAAATTCATGAGCACCTTGTCCCTAGATGTTGTCATTCAAAATTTGTATGGTTTCAGGTTTCATGCATACGTATTGAGTTTAACCATTAACCCTCGCGGGCCCGGAAGGGGGGGGGGGGGGTTCGCCTCCCCCTGGCGAATATTTGCAATACGTCATGAACGCTTACGGATAGAAAGATGAAACCTGCTGTACCTGATCCCCCATTAATTTGACATCTTTTGAAGCAAAAAAAAAAAATGGACCTAGTCTTCTTCATAACGCCTCAGGGCCGATATTTCTAGACTCTTGCACGGCAAACTTCGGCGTCACAGACGTGAACTTCAAATAGCTGCCAAAAATAGAGTTTTAGAGATAAAGACAAAGTACGAGCACGGTTGTGTGGCATTTCATCTAGAAAAAAAAATACTTCAGTATTTTTGGTGACCTGAGGAGGTCAGGTCAATGCCCCCGAGCTGGGGCTTTAGTTTTTTTCCCAAAAAAAATCAACAAAAATGGTCCTAGAGCTACGGCAGCGGTATCTTCGCATTCGTTTCGTCGAGACGAGTCGAATGACATATATATTGTTTGGGAGGTCAAGTTTTGTGTTGACCTCACGTGACCTCGAATGACCTTTGGTTGACTTTGACACATGAAAGGTCGTATGTGATGATTTCGTAGTCGCTGATCAGGATTCTGGCATCCATTTTGCTCTAAGCATTCATTTAGAGCCTCAGGATGGCAAAACATGTCTTAATTATTATGCCTGACTTGAATACGTGAAATAGCCTCTAGCAAGGATACTCTCTTGTGACTTTGACCTTGAAGCAGCCTTGTATCGTAGGCTAAAGCACAAATAGGGGCCCGCTAAGCTTCAAAACATTTCAAAACATCTCGGAATTTAGTATACAAGATAGAGGAAGAAGTGCAAAGTTTGTGGTCAATTTTGATCATGACCGGGACCTTGAATTTAAATGTTATGCACATCATCGGAATCCCCAGACTCTCTTCTTTCGTTTAACATCCATTTTAGCCGGTTTTATGTACTCTGGAATACCGTCCTCTTGCCGTCCTCTGGAATACGTACTTTGAGACCACTACAAAAGTGCCGATTTTTGCCTTTGACCTTGAATTTTGACCTTGAAAATTGACCTGACGTCAAAAAGTTTAGGTACTTTAGAAGCTTCTCGTAGATAGTAGATACCTTTCGTTTGGTACCATTTTTGTTTCCGTAGCTGCCTTATTTACGGAATTAGACGGTGGGAGGGGCTACCCCCGGGCTGCGGTGGTTGGGATTACCCCCGGGCCCGGGCGGGATAAGGTCGCGAGCAAATAAAACTATAAAACTTAATTGCGAGACACAAACCTGTGAAAACGTTATGTTGTTCGTTGAAATGTAAAATGGTATATTCCTCAGAATAATAATCAGTAGGTACCTAGTTCTCCTTTTTACCGTAAAGCGTATATGTGCGATTCTCTCACACACAATTGATATACCTTCTAGTTAGAATAAGCTCCATTAGAGCGATCCACATACATTTCCAGATAACCCGGATATACATACCTAACACATTTTGTCATACCTCCCTGAGCTCAGTCTCAGCCTAAGGGTTCCCAAAAGAGGATGATCTCTTCTTTGGCCGATTTTGACAAACTGCCTCTCAACCTCCTCGAGGTCAAGCTCGAGGGCAGTCTTCTGATGAATGAAAATGAGTAGGAGAATGAGTGGGAGTAAGAGATATGCGACAGACGGTCCGAGAACGAACGTTCTGCTGATGCACTTGATACGGGGACCGTCAAAAACAGCCGTACTATTTATTATAACCGCCTATCATGAATGTTGCGCCGGTCTTCTGTTCCCATTCCAACATCAGCCAAATTTTGTGGGGGCAGAAACATAGTCTTGCCCCCATGGCCTCCTGCCAGTGGGGGCAGTCTGCCCCCACTGCCCCCACGGTGGCGCCGCCCTTGCTCGGAAATGTGGTTCAGCTTTTCAAAATTGGGGGCGAAGATGCTCACTCTATTCACGGAACTGCTGCAAACTTGCTTGTTGACAAAGTGTCATTTTTTCAACAATAAATTTTGAAATATATGACAAATAATGTTGTGGGGCAGGTTCGTGTACTCACTGCCTGGGGCACATTCGTGCATTTTTTTTAGTTTTTGCGATTTATGACTTTATCTGTAGTAGGTTTCTCTAATGACGCTCGCCTGACTCAGTCTCGGCTGCTTGCGACGTCGTGACGAGTAGGTAAATCACGCAAACTTTGCTAGGTCACCTTCTTGTTGGGCAGCCCATTCTTTCTACATATGTTGTGCAATGCATTCTTGTCGAAAGGAATCAAGTGAAATGACCCCCTGCCAATTTCCTTTGGTAAATTTCTGGTAATGCCCCGTAATTTCTCGAACTTTGCAGGGTGCACGGAAGTGCCCCACCCCTTGCACGAATGTGCCCCATAGGTGGGGCAGTTTCGTGCAAACGTTGAGTTATTAAAAGTCATTTTTTCTAGAAGAAGCAATAATTTTAGAGGATAACTTTTAAAGAGTAAAAATATCTGCAATAGTTCCTTTCCATACCACAATCAACAATTTTGTTGTTGCACTAACCAAAGAACAGATATATGGATTTATCCATTTTTTGCA